AAGTTGAGCACTGGTACCGTTGTTGGAGCCATACGGTGCACTCGCATTGATATTTGCAAGTTCATAGGTCTCTTCATGGCGAACATAATGATATTATTCACTCTCCCACATACTGTTTGCTGTTTGTTTTTCAACAAAGTGATGTTTTCAACCGAGTGTTGCTTGGCAAAGTGCTTTCTTCCCACACGGAAGTGGGTAAAATAGTGAGACAATGAGGGACGTGTACAGTCGAAGTATCGCTATGAATGATCTGTACTATTCGTATTATGCAGAGGTATTACGCGTCCTAGACAGTTACTGCGTTATAAATAGATTGATCACGCTGAACAGCTTCACTATATCACTCGCTTGCAGGTCTTTGAGTGCCCCTATAGCCAAAACAGCAAGACTGAGCTCGAATATTTTTTTGAAGTTTTTTTGGATATTTTTAAGCTTTTTCTGTCAACCTTTATGTTCCTCCTCATAATTATCGGAACAAGAGTCTCTGCTTTAAGGCAGCGTTCATACTTCGCGACAGCAGCGGCGATCGCCGCGATCGTCGGTACATGGCAGAGCGCGCCCCAACGCTATTACTTGCGCTCCGAAGGCTTTTGGGAAGAAGCGACTCAATTTCATGCTTTTTTTCCTTTAACTGCAATTTTCTTAGATACTGAAGCTTGGTTTGACACAAAGAAAGGTGAACCCAACTTAATGGCTTTTGTTTTCTATTTTCTTTCTTGATTCAGGATAGAAATGAGCAAAAAGCGTGAGAGCTTCATTTAGGGTAGGTTTTTATTGTTTCTTTTTTCATTCGTCGAGCTTATACATGAGGTTATAAAGTTTTCACCTGTTGATGTTGCGTAAAATGATTAGTGTTTTGGTTCCTAGGTGAGTTCTTTCTGTTTCTTTTTTTTCGTTGTTTGAACTCGATATAAATGTTTTGGAAGTTGGAACAGTTCAGACGATAGGAACTTTGAAGCGCTTGTATAAATTGAAACAATAAAAACAAAAGAAACAAAAAGAAGCTCACAGGAAATGGAGAACTTACGACTTTCTATACATAAGCGGATCTGGAATATGAGGTAAGGAGGTTTCACTTCTTTTTAGGTCGAGACCTAAAAAGAAGTGAAACCTCCTTACCTCATAAGTTATCTTTTAGTAGCCATTATCATAAGAAAGGACGGTCTCATAAGTTAGGATTTCCTTATTTATCAAGCGAGCAGTCCATAATAGCGTTGGGGCGCGCTCTGCCACGTACCGACGATCGCGGCGATCGCCGAGGTCGCCGCGATCGCCGCTGCTGTCGCGAAGTATGAACGCTGCCTTGAGAAGACCGTTAATGTCAAAAATGGAGCACAGCTTTTAGCTTGAAACTCTACCTTTCGAGGATAAGTTAGCCGTAATTTGATTCACTGGTTTCTGTGAGAAAGCGCCCGCTTATTTGCAGTAGCACAGTCCTACGCTGGCAGACGTTTCTAGAAGCAAAGCAGCCGTCTGTAATTTTCTGTCTATTTTAGCCACCGAATAGGTTTTGCACTTTCCATTTCACATCGCTCAACTTCTTCGAAATTTATTGACAACGTTGAGCCTACGGCTCACAAGAACATCTGTGATTTCCGCGTTGAGAGCCAGCTGCTTGTCGAACTATCCATACTAATTGAGACTTGGGACCAAAGCTTTGCAATGGTAGCGAAGAAAGGACAACTTCGAAAAAATCAACCTTCTGATTGTGAGGCAAGAAAGGTGAGGTATGTGGGAGAACGCTCCGATAATAAAACTGCTAAGGCAACCGTCTCAGCAAAACAAGACAAGTTCACGCCTGAATTCTACTGATCTTTTCCGCAGTGGTACCATTAATAACTGCGACTCTATGAGCTCGCTTCCTTGTTGAGATGAGCGAGAAATATTGTCGAATTTCCGGGTAAAACAAAACAAGGATCACTCTGAAACAACGCTTGATTAATACTGATACGTCCCGTAGTGAACTTACACATTATCCACGTATGACGCCTGCGAAATGATTTGAATCCAATTTTACATGAATCCCGTGAAAAAAACAGGAAAACCACTCAATTCAGAGCGCTAAAGCTCCAGGTTGTTCAAATCCACTGACAAGGGAATGGTTTGAACTTCCCATGGAACTTTGAATGGAGACCTAGGTACATCGATAGAGCCTCGAATGCTGATTACGAATATGCAGATTAAAAGTGCTACGGGGACCTCCCAGACGAGATCTGGGTGGTCAAAGTTTGCGAAAAGCCAGTTTTGGCTCGTAAGCGCTGCTGATCGATGCCTCGGCAGTGCCACCGTGGCCTCGTGGTAATGGTCTCGCTTTCAAGTCAAACGCATGCGGGTTTGCATCCGGTTGGCGCGAAAATTTTTGCTTCGCTCCGTATAAGAGCTTCAACTCTAATTTTCGAAATTCTTCCGAATTTACGGCCCAGCAGGGCAAGTAGATCAAGTACATCAAGTATACGACGTACTCGATCTAGTATGGATTTGGTCATATCTGCCCTCTCTGAACATATTACCCATCCGACAATTCAAAGTTTTGCCCAGAATCGTATGGCCAGACGAGCTTTTTTTCGTCGAAGGATGTCCCATGAACGAGTTTCTCGCTAAAACTTTGAATTGTCGGATGGGTAACCTGTTCAGAGAGGGCAGATATGACCAAATCCATACTAGATCGAGTACGTCGTATACTTGATGTACTTGATCTACTTGCCCTGCTGGGCCGTAAATTCGGAAGAATTTCGAAAATTAGAGTTGAAGCTCTTATACGGAGCGAAGCAAAAATTTTCGCGCCAACCGGATGCAAACCCGCATGCGTTTGACTTGAAAGCGAGACCATTACCACGAGGCCACGGTGGCACTGCCGAGCATCGATCAGCAGCGCTTACGAGCCAGAACTCAAACTTTGACCACCCAGATCTCGTCTGGGAGGTCCCCGTAGCACTTTTAATCTGCATATTCGTAATCAGCATTCGAGGCTCTATCGATGTCTCCATTCAAAGTTCCATGGGAAGTTCAAACCATTCCCTTGTAGTCCTATCGTTTTGATTTCTGTTGTTTGCACATTTGTTCGACGTTTGTATGCTCGCTCAGTCCTCTTTTCTGTTTTCTCGCTTGAATTTCCAACTAGTTTTTGCCTCTCAAGAAGGTAGAAATAGGAAAGAAGAAAGACAAGGAGAGATTTGTTTGGAGAGATTTGGGCATTTTCAAAGGGTTTCTCTACTTTCTTCTACACTGGTGAGTTTATTAACATGTACACTACTTCTTTATGCTTTCACATCAAAACCTTATCTAAATGTGCCCTCTAACCAGGGAAAGTCAACAGGTCATATACGATGTACACTGCAGTCTTGTGAGACTGAGCTCAAAACTTTCTTTGAAATTTTTCTGAAGGACTTTCTGAACGTTATGAGGATTTTCTCCCGCCTTATTGTTTCACATGCTACCTCATGGAGTTGTGGAAGAGAATCCATCGTGGCAGCGAAGCGCAACGGCTGGAGATCGGGTTGATAGCATGAAGTTACGAGATCAGTTCCCATGTCTTCAACCTTTTTTTTTTTTCCTTTTCGACATGGTCATCAAAGCTTCAAACATCCCTGCTCGCTCGTTCTCGCTTGTAAGAGGACCTGCGATCAGCTTTCCACTAGTGTAGACCACTCGTGGCTTCTGAGGGTGCTCGGGCTTGTCCTTCTCGTAATGCACGTCACGAAGGCTTTTGCAGTAAACCAGTGGGATATTCATGTTCAGCGGGTGAGATCTCCCCTGTAGTTACGCTCCTAGCCAAATGTGAGAGGTTCACCTAACTTCGAAAACGTGGGGTATCTTTGAGTATGTGTGAACAGGTTGTAGTTCACCTATCAGCGATGACTATCCTTTGAGCTGATATGTCCCCGCCTCTTACTATCAGGAAAATCATGAAAATGATGCCAAAACGTGAGCACGTTCCTCAATCAAATGTATGGCTAACAAGTTATTCAGTACGAATACCACTCGTAGGTGATAAGCTAGATCTAACGTAAATATTCAGTCATGACTAGCTCAACCTCACATTTTTCGAATTTGAGTAAAAATTTCAGATTTTGCTGGAGTGCCGTCCCCGGTGGTTATTCGACACCACACGCTATCACACGGTGGTAATGTCGTGAGCTACAGGTCCTGGCCGGGCCAGCACCTGTAGCGCGACAGAAGCGAGAGAAAAAAACCTCTATAACTTCTTCAAAGTATCGCTCAGCAAATTCCAAAGGTAGATTTGAGTTCACCGTGCTAGGGGGGGGCTACAACGGTGTGCACCTCCTTCGAAATGGTCGAACTGACCTTCCTGGTAAAAGCAATTGTAGCAGCAACTAGAAGGTTCTTGAATTTTTTTGGGGCTTTCTTCAGAGGGACTAGTAAATAGGGGTGTGATCTTCTTGCTACAGATTACCTTTAACTCAGTCACTCAATCCAAACCAACTAGATTCGAAGCAAGCGCTTGTGTGTCAACAATATATTCTCGTGTAATTTGTTCTAAAGTCTTTTCCTTTTCTCAAGTTATAAATAAAGGAAATCGGAACAGTTCATTCTTAGATAGAGCAAGTGTGATTTTCTTTAAATCTGAGAAGGAAGTTATCTTTTTTGCTCGTATCAGAAAAAAGGCCTACCCTTCGCAGGAGTGCATCACTGCCCAGGCCATAGTGGTAAACAAAAACACCACGAATCTTGAGTGAATCATGGGAGAAATTAAGTAGGAACCAACAAATAGGAAGGTGTAGGTGAAGGCGCTTGTAGCAGTCTAAAACGAATTTATAGCTTCCGCTCTCAAGAAGTGTGTACACATATGAGACACTGGTGAAACTGTTGCAGTTTATGCTGGTGGTCTAGTAACTACTGGAAGATCTTATCCAGGTTCCGAGTTACAAGTCGGAATTAACAGTAACCGAGATGACTAGCCGGTAACAGTGTCGGCGGTATACAGTACAGATTCTGCGAGATGTAAGACCTGACTGAAGGATGCCGTGTTATTCGGTTCCTCAAATTCCTCTTTCAGATCTGAAACCAGTGAGTGGTCTGTACTCGTCAGCAGAAGAATTAGGGCCCAACTCGTGAGGCACACAACAACTCTGCAGTAAGCGACTCAGGGAAGACAAATAAAGAGACGTGGATAAACTTTGGTTCACTCACCTGCATAGTGAACTTGAATTCTCTTTTGCTTCTTATTTCAGCCTCTTTAATTTCAGCAGCGTCGGTTCTGTTGACCACTGTTTTCTCAAAAGAAGATTGTTGGGCAACGCGCGTGTGTAAGTGATAACGAATAAAGAATTTGCCATTAATCAATTTTGAGATGTGGCACTAATTCTACATGTATTCAGGACCGCAGTTGCGTTTTGAATGCAACATGACTATGAAATGACTTTCGGAGACCAGCTGATGTACAGACCAATGACTTCATACTACCAGGTAAGCCTACTACCAATATACCTTCCAAGAGGGTGTAACACTTTTTTCCCGAAACAGAGGGGCAGAGACTGGGATAGATTGGTAATCAGCACAGCTAACTAGAGACCAGAAGTCAAGGATACTACGTAAGCACTGCCCATCTGGAGAACTTTGATTTTTCTTAGAGTTCTGTCGAAATGGGATGGGAGGGGTGGGCATCTCTTGAGAAAGTAGCCGAGAAAAGTTTTCTTTCGGGATGACTACGCGATCGAGCTGCTAGCATTGGTTTCACGAGTAGCTGGTATTGTTGTTTTGGGAAGGTCTCAGTGTACAGCTTCTACCTGTACCCCATAATGAATCATGTGATCCTTTCTCGAATCAGGCCTTCCCTAGCATCACTGGGACTGGGCCGCAACCGCTCACATGAACGTAAACATACAGGGAGGGGGAGCAAAAAAAGACATTTCGACCGAGTCACATATCAGCAAAGTTTTCGCTGCCCAGACAGAGGACGTGGATACGAGTACCAGGGCGGAAGATACCCAAGATGTTCCTCTATAAGCAGGAGCTGGCTCTCGCCCATCACCTTCATGTACACCAAAATATGAAGTCATCTCCAGTCGCAGCCTGACTGGAGAAGACCTTTGGAATTCATGTCACCTCCAAACAGCTGCGAAACTTCTAGTGTGGAGTCACCCATGGATAGCTACCTGGAGACCAGTACTCTTGATCTGAAAGACCCCCAACATCGAGCAGCTCCGACAACGTCGCTACGGTCTAGGACATCATCTTCACCACAGTCGCCAAGGCGCGGGTTGATGGTATGGTACCTGGAATGGAAAGACCGATATTTTCTTCGTGGACCCCGGACTGAAGGTGAGCGCTGGCGGTTACATCGAGCAACTCGAGAAGAATATCCTCCCCACATGTCGCCCGTACCTTCTTGGAAACTTTGTACTGCTACAGGATTGGGTGACACCACATGGAATCGAAGGGCGTTGGAAAAACTCTCGCCTACTTGGAATGGAAGGGCGTTGAGTACCTGAAGAAGATGGAATATCTAAGCAGGTCACCTGAACTAAACCCCCTCAATTACCTGGTTCGGGCGGAGTTCAATAGGGTGGTCTACAGTGGCGGAGAAATCAACGATCTCGCTGAACTCAGGCACCACGTCGCGTGGCAGAATCTCTCGATGGCGCTCTCCAGAAGGCTGTGGCGGAGTGTCATGATAGTATTTAATATGCTCTTTAATATGGTGGTAAAAATGTCCGATCAGAATTTGATAAAGTGTAACTTATATCGAAATTGTCTTTTACACTTTTGCAAAGTGTCTTTTTTGCACTCTCCCCCTGTATGAAACTTTCAAAGCGCTGACAAATCTCATGGATAGTGGTGGGTACGACGAAAAATTGAAGTGGGCACAATGAGCGTAATATCGACGCAACTGAAGTCCGTTTTTTCATATCCTCATAATTATAGGACAAAGTGGCATTTAGTTCACGAGGGAAGGGTTGGTACGAATTGTGATGACTCACTTGTCCTTTCAGTTTAAGCTGTACAATCGTAACGATATTGATGGTAGTGAAAATAGCTATTAAACTTCCGTTGTAGTAGAGGTCAACGTCGTAGAGGAGTTGGCCACATGACCTGACAACATCCCACTTCCACATGGAATCAGGGTGATGGTAGAAGAAGTCGCAGCCATCTGCGAATGTGAGAATTTTGAAATTATATATGCATACACACTGCCTCGTCTTAATGATAATATCTTTTCGATCTTGTGAAAGGCGTCTGCTAAGGTCTAGAGAGGAAAAGTATTGTGTACACATGCGAACTGCAGCAAACCCAAACATTGCTTTGAAATTGTTAAAATTTCTATCACACCCTTTTGTGAAACAGTCACTCCGAAATTTTCGGAAATCATAATTAAACCCCACGCTTCTAATGCCGCTTTTGCGTTTCTGCTAGATCAGACAATTTTTCCAGTTTTGACAGATGCCCTTAACTGCTCGAGGTGAAGTCTAAGTTCATCCTCAAGAAGAAGAACAGAGCAAAAAAAATAGCACGAAAAATGAAAGCTGTTTCAGCGCAGCCAAACAACAGCATGTCAGGTTTTCTCCCCGATATTTCGTTGCGCCTACCTATTCTTCTCTTGCCTTCTGTTGGGTATGTAACGAGCTTATTCCTAGCAAAGCAACACCAGGGAGAGATCACAGACCCATCACCTGTATCACCTGTGCTCCCGTTGATCATCGAGTTCCTCGAGCGGGCGCCAGTAACGTCTCCATTCGTCCCTGCAACGTGCAAGAGTTGCCCAATGAACTCTCTCTGCTCGAGGGACACGATGAACTTCATACCATTCGTTCAGAGCTTTCACGAAGAAGTCTGACCATCGCATAGGCGGTCGTCCAGGCGTTCGCTTGACATCCCGTGGAATCCAGTCGGTGATCGCTCTGGTCCAGCGGTCGTCCTCGAAACGCATGACGTGCCCGGCCCACCTGATCTTCGAAACCTTGGCAAATGCGGCGGCGTCTCTGATCTTCGATCGTCGGCGGAGTGCGGAGCTCCGGATTCCCTCTTAGCGGGAAGCATCGCCCTTTCGATGGCGCGTTGAATAACGCCAACCGCATGCTCATCCTGCTTTCGTAGAGTCCAAGTCTCTGAGGCGTACGTCAAGGCAGGAAGGACCGCGGAATCGAAGAGGTGGGCACGGAGCTTGGTGTTCTTCGTCTTCTTCGCTACTCCCTCGATGTTCTTGAAGGCTCCCCAAGCCGCTCCTCCTGCTCAGCTCTGGAGCTAAGTCATTCATCATATTGATTTCACGACCTAGGTACACATAGCTAGAGCATTCAGAGATGGTCGTTCCGTTGAGCGTGAATGGGGCATCAGAAACCAATCCGTTTCTCATGAACATCGTCTTCGTTAGATTCAGCCGTAGACCGATTTTTCCACACGCGCAGTCGAATTCAGCCAGCATTCGTTCCGCTTGCTCGATGTTTGGTGTTATCAAAACGATGTCGTCAGCAAAGCGGAGATGGTGTAGTTGCCGACCGTCGATCTTCACTCCCATGTCTTCCCATTCCAGTTGACGCATGACGTTTCGGCGAGATGGTGTCGCCCTGTCGGACCCCTCTCTTCACGTCGATGATGATCTCCTTGTAGAATGGTGAGATCTTGGTCGTGAAGTTGCTGTAGAGCTCACGAAGAATCCTGATGTACTGAGTAGGAATACCCTGGTTGCCCAGGGCTTCGATAACCGCTTCTGTCTCAACGGAGTCGAAGGCTTTCTTCAAGTCGATGAACGTGAGACATAACGGCATCTTGTACTCTCGCGATACTTCAATGAGCTTCGTTACCGTGTGGATGTGATCGATCGTGCTGAATCCTCTTCGAAACCCTGCTTGCTCGCATGTCCTTCATCTAGTGTTGTTGAAGAGTTTGTAGACTACAGGGGAGGGGCCAAAAAAGTCACTTTCCTTCATTGACTTTCGAGGCGCTATAAGTTACACTTTATTGAATTCTGATCGGACATTTTTACCACCATATTGAAGAGCATATTAAATACTATCATGACACTCCACAGCCTTCTGGACGAGCGCCATCGAGAGATTCTGGCACGCGACCGCGATGTGGTGCCTGAGATCAGCGAGATAGTCGATTTCTCCGCCACCGTAGACCACCCTATTGAACTCCGCCCGAACCGGGTAATTGAGGGGATTCTTTCAGGTGACCTACTTCAGATATTCCACCTTCTTTAGGTATTCAGCCCCCTTCCATTCCAAGTAGGCGAGAGTTTCTCCAATGCCCTTCGATTCCATGTGGTGGCACCCATGCTGTAGCAGTACAAAGTTTCCAAGAAGGTAGGACGACGACATGTGAGCACCGCAGCGCTCACCTTCAGTCCGGGGTCCACGAAGAAAATATTGGTCTTTCCATTCCAGGTACGTCCGGTCCATACCATCAACCCGCGCCTTGGCGACTGTGGTGAAGATGATGTCCTAGACCGTGGCGACGTTGTCGGAGCTGCTCGATGTTGGAGGTCATCCAGATCGAGAGTGGTCTCCAGGTAGCTATCCATGGGTGACTCCATACTAGAAGTTTCGCAGCTGTTTGGAGGTGACATGAATTCCAAAGGTCTTCTCCAGTCAGGCTGCGACTGGAGATGACTTCATATTTTGGTGTACATGAAGGTGATGCCAGCTCCTGCTTATAGAGGAACATCTTGGGTATCTTCCGCCCTGGTACTCGTATCCACGTCCTCTGTCTGGGCAGCGAAAACTTTGCTGATATGTGACTCGGTCGAAGTGACTTTTTCTTGGCCCTCCCTGTACAGACAGCAGGCAGATTGGGCGATAATTGCCAATGTCGTACAGGTCTCCCTTCTTGTACAGCAACACAGTCTTGCTGGTTTTCCACGAGGTGGGTACCTTGCATTCCGACAGGTAGCGCGTGAAGAGTCGAGCCAGAGTTTTGACGAGAACTGGCGGAAGATTCTTCAGATGTTCGGGTCTGATCCTGTCGGGACCGGGTGCCGTACGATTCTTCACCGACGAGATGGCGTGTCGGACTTCGGAAGGGAGAACTGCAGGAACGACATATCCATCCTGCTCCAAGCGGTATGGTTGCAGGTGGACGTGGCTGTCAAAGAGATCCGAGTAGAAGTCGTGGATGACCTTCTCCATTGCCCTTCTGGATGCGGTGATTGTTCCATCCGGACGTCGGAGGGCGGTCATCTTGGTCTTACAGTTGGCGAAGTCGCGGCGGGCGTTGCGTATGCTCTTCCCAGCCTCTGCGGCTTCCACCAGTACTGCTGCTCTTCTCTCCTTGAGGTCTTCCTTTATCGCTTCTCTGCATAGCTTCGCAAGCTCAGACGTCAGCTGGTAATTGCCTGCGGCTCGTGCGGCTCCACGTTGGCGAATCAGCTAGAGCTTCTTGGTAACTTGGAACTCTCTGACTTCTTGGCGCAGTCGTGAAGATGTGCGACAAGCCGTTCGTATTCCTCGTCGATGTTGTCGGAATCCTCCCAGAGCCCAGCGAGAGAAGTGAAGTGATCCCAGTTGATGACGGTCTTGGGGCTTCGCTTCTTGAACTTTGCGGCTCTCTCTCTCGCATCGAAAAGCGGAATCTTGCGCGAAGGAGACGGTGGTCGGATCCCGTGTAGAACTTAGGAACAACAGCGACATCGGTCAGGCAAAACCTTCGATTGAAGATGATGTGGTCGATCTCATTATGGAATTGTCCACCAGGAGACTCCCATGTCCAGCGTAGAGAGTAGGGCTTCTGGAACGAGTTACCATGGATGGTATGGGTCGACATGATACTCAGACAGCCTTTCACCCTGCTCATTCCACTCCGTTCCGTGAGTTCCGATGTGAAGTTTCAGCCGTTCTTCTTGGTCCGATCTTAGCGTTGAAATCACCGACGATGACCTTGAAGAAGGTATGATCTTCCTTGTAGAACTTCTCCAATTCCATATAGAACGCTTCGAGCTCATCCTCGTCGTAGCTTGATGTTGGTGCGTAGGCGACGAAGATTGTCAAAGCTGGAGTTGAACCACATCTTCTCAATCGCAAACGTCCGATTCGGGTCGTCAGATTTTCGTACGAATCGATGTTCATGGCCAAGTGCGTGTTGACGAGGACGCCCACACCGCCAACGCCTCTGCTGTCGCATGTTCCGAGGAACAGTTCTTCTCCAGTCTCGTATACGGCGTGTAGCGGGCGATGCCTCCTCGTCTCGGTCAGTCCGATGACGTCGTACTTGATCTTCCTGGCTTGCAACATCAGATCTTCGATGTGAGCTTCCGATGCAAGTCCGTTGAAAGTACAGATCGTCATCCTAGTCCTGGGCGACTTAAATCTCCGTTGGCCCTGTGATTCTTGCAGTCCCAGCCGACGTCGCCCTGTCGGTGGTTCCCTCAGGTTCAGGGGAATGAGGCCCATAATTATTACTGTTTTCGGCGTGAAGAAATTTGACCACGCGTAGCTCGCCAGGCTCTGACGTGGCCACCCTCCGCCCATTGGATACGGCTGTTTAGAACACGCCCAAACCTAAAGCCTACGCACAGTTTTGTAGCTTGAAAATTGGATGCGTTAATATTCAAGGCTGTACGAAGTTGAATATGTCGCGGAATGCTCATCTCCTATCACACCTTGGTAGAACCATAATACCCTTTTATGGAGTGCCAATTATCAGGTTATTTCGCTCTCGCTCGCGCGTTGACAATTCTGCTATCCTTACTTCCTTTGGCAAGAATTCGCCCTATTTAGAGAGTCGACAATTATTTACTTTATGGTGTTCTGAGCTAGCGGTAAGGACAGCAGTGTTTTGTCTGATTTTGGAAAGACCAGTTCCTTTTGCCTTCCTGGATGTTCGGAGCTTGCGCTGCATACCACGGACTTGCATTAAGGTGTTCATACAACTTCTCTCCGTTTCTCAAAGACCTTCTCCTGGATTTTTGTAAGTTAACCACAGGTCCCTAAACTTATCAAGTTTATGCGATGCAGTGTGATACATGGAGTAAAGAATAAAGAACATTCAAACATGAGCATCGTCAAACCTACTACACTATGAAGTAAGACGGGCCGCGGTAGAGCATCTGCCAAGAACAAGATAAATACAAGAAATGCGGTTCGTAGAGTCTGGCGTAAGTGCGATTGTAAAAATTTTACGTTATAGCTCACATCGCGAAAAAGGTTGACGCTTTATCAGCCTGCAGGCGATACCTTTCTCACCTACGCTAAGTTAAACTTGCGGTTTACTTCGTCATAATCGGCGGCCAGCTCGACGTTGTGGAACATTGCCCAACCATTTAGGATTTTTTATAAAAGCCCATGAAATAATGAAGGAACCTGTTCAACTGTATCTTGGTGTGTTGACATAGACTAAATTTTTGATAGCAGGAATAAACTTATTGACACATCTAATTTTGATGGTGACATATATCACCCATAACATACGTCATTCAAATCATACCCGTACATACAGGAGATGAAATAAAATAGAAGGTGAAACTAATACGAAATAGTCTCGCTCGAATATCGAGCCCGATTCGATCCCGACACTTGCAGCTATATACGACTACATCCCATATATTATCCTCCAGGCTATTTGGTGGATTACCACTTTGAAACTTCACCTATTGTTGCTATCTTGTAAAAATTATTCAAGAGACAGAGCCAACCTGTTCAAAGAAATAAATACGTCACAGAGAATCGCTGCTTCGAAGAAAGTGTGCGACAGTTGGCCCATGCGCCTATTTAAATATTGCAAATCACTCGGGATGTCCCTGAAAGTGTTGTGACAGTATGGTTTACTATTACTTGTTTGATGAGCTCTATTAAGGTTTTTGCAGAGGTACTGATAAGGATGTTTGACAGGTGCCTTAAAGACACATGGTACGCTCAAACACATTGAGGGTGTATGAGACTATCAGCCCCCCAGCTGTCGATGTGTCGTGGTCCCCCCGCCCAAAACTGCACGGGGTCAGAGTACGGGACCGTGGGAAAGTCGTAATTCCTTGCTACGCCGCCCGTTTTTGCAAACTCACGTTTTTACTAACACCGTCCGCGCGGCGCGGTCGCGTGCAGCTCTCTTGGCTTTTTGCCAAGTCCTGTAATTGCGCTTTGGAATACAAGTACAACGCAATTTCTTTATGCGGATAACATTTTAGGTGCTGCAAAATAAGAACTGAAGATGATGACGAGGGCTAGAACTCAAGAGCAACTGTGCTGCTTCTGCAATATCCCTCAGAGGCCGCGCATTCCCACAGAACATGACAATAAAAACGGCCTAAGCGTCCCACGTTAGTTTATACAAGCAAAACGCAATTTCCTGATGCGAATAACATTTGAGGTGTTGCTCATGCTTCAAAGTCCGAATAGAAGGTGATGAAGATGACAAAGGCTAGAAGAACAACGAATGCAGATGTAAATAAAAGCAAAAATGAAAAAGTTAAGGAAATCAAATCAACAAAATCGCGTGTAATTCCTTCAGTTCGGCGCGATTCCGGCTCCAAAGCCATAGAAATACTTTAAACTTACGAGTGGGACGACGACGACTAAAACCAGATTCAGGTGTTGCAAACAAAAGCCGAAGATGATGACGAGGGCCAGACAAGAGATGAAGATGAACAAGAGAGATGAAGTAAATCATCATAATCGTAGGCAATGCATGCTAGTTGTTCGCGGTCAGCCGCACGCGAGGAGTGCAATTCCCACGCTAATACAAGCGCATTGGTGCGCGCTATTTTACGACCTGGAGCCAATTTCAAGCCAAACACTCGTACCCCTCTTTTGAACACCCATAACTTCGTTGAAAGTAAAGCTCTCGGAGAGGGGAAAGTAGGAATGAGTAGCTAGGTTGGCTCTTGTTACCTGAGTTTGAGCGATTTCAAAAACATTTCTTTTCTAGGAATTTTTCTCCGTTGTGATCCTCTTGTGATCATGGGGGCCAACCACAAGTCGCTACGCTTTGGACATCCATGGCAAGCTTCATACAAGGCCTTTCGTAAAAAAAGAACTGTGCCGGAAGCATGAAGCTTTCTACTTTCCAGCAAAACTTTGATTTTCTCCCTAGGCCTGCTATTCGAAAAAATCCCCGTTGTGATCATTTCGTGATCACTCCCCCACGACACGAAAAATCAACCCCTCCGAGGCCATGAAACCTCCAGTTGGACTTGAACACTTTGGTATGCTTCTAAAACGCATGTTTTCGTTAATTATATCAGGTTATAATTAACTCTTAACTCTTAAGGAATCTTAGTTAATTGGGCTCCTATTGGCATCACCTCTGCAATGCGCCATGCATAGGGCTTTCAGGCAGAGGTGTTGGGAAGGTGCAACTTCTAGATAGGGCTTCCTAAGCGCAAGCACATGTGTTCCTGCGATCAGAAAGGTCTGAAAATGTACTTTCATCTGTTTATTGATCGTCACGTCGTGAGTCCTTTGGTTTATTTATAGATATGGTGCCCTTGTGGGCGGTCATCGTAGCTCCTACCATCGCCCGTTCCTCGTACCTATTCTCTATATGCTCCACAAGCGCCAGAGTACTGGACGTGCTTGGGACGTAAGT